CTTAAAGTGTAAGCTGATCATAAAAGAAAAACAAAATGTGATTCCTTCAACAATGTATTATAGTTTACAAATTGGACATGGTTGGGGAGGCACTTAAATATAAAAACAGACTTAAAAAGGGGTATTTGTAAATTTTGCAATTGCCTTTCTTATGAATTCATTCATGGGAAAAGATTTGACAATTTTACCTTTTCGGAGCCAGAATATGCCAATCTTTCTTCCATGCGGTGGCATGTGACGTCAAATGCACTTTGGCACGTCTTTGGTATTTCTTCCTTCTCGTGAAACCCCAAAAATCTAAATGAAAACTCGAAAAGCACACGTGAGGAACATGTGAAAATATTCCCTTGAGCTAGTTGTCCGATATTTTAAAATACAATGACATGAACTTACACAATAGTTTTGGCAGTCTTTAGTGCTGCCTCACCTTGTTCGCTTAAACCAAGAGAAATTATCCGATCCGCAATCCATTTTTCACCTATTGATGACGAGTCCTTTGTATCATCACACCCCATAAGTTGTAGTAAAAAGGTTCTATACATTGGCCTCGTCTCGTTTTTTAGCATGGGGCTTGTCTCGGTATTGAAGAAACCAATTCTTGCTAATGTTCCCATTATTTCTCCAAAACCTAATAAAAAAATATTCAAATATCATGCAAAACTATATTTTTCCAATAATTAAGGACTTCACAATAATTTTTGGAAAGTGTAACATTTAGGAAAAAGAGATGTATTTTGTTGCCTTCGTATCTGAGTGTTCCTCGAAAAATAGTTGAAGCTTCATTTTCGATGCCATAAAGCTCTCCATAAACCAAGGAGTTTCGGTTTGGAAGACACTCCAATGCAAAAGCTGGAAAATCTGGTAGTCGGAGCCTAGAAGCAGAATCATAAAGTTTGTCCCCTGCATTTTATTTATATATAATTACACAACAAAAAAAAAAAAAATGCAGATTATGATGTGAGGCGAATTAACCATAATTAACAACTGCTAAATTACTCCATGGACACACAATGCACAATAAGCTTTGATACGACTAGCTAGTGAAGAATGTAAAGACACTCGTATAACTTGTAATTAGAAAACAACAAAAAAAAAAAATTACAGATTAGCTGGTTAGGTGATTGATAATGTATCATGCTAGTAAAATAACTTACCATCAACACGAATAATTTCTCCATTATATTTGTATATGGCTGGGTTGCGGCCAGCTCGTATAGCACCTGCAGGACTCCAACTGAAATATTACAGGAAAAAGTATGCATTATAATCGGACTTTTTTTTATTATCATACAGGAAAAGGTATGCAATATTGGAAACTTCATAAATATAAGAACCATATGTAAAATCAGACCTAAATTTGTAAGCTAATGGGTTGTTAGCAGCATCGGGAGATGGAAGCCCACCACAGTAAGAAGTAAAAGACTTAATGTTTCCACCTCGTGCATGCGCTTGTTTGATCATCTTCATTGCCATCATGTGGTCTAAGTAAAAGAACAGCTTGATTACATAACATCTATTACTGATGACATCACAGCTCAGTATATCAAATAATAAAGTGCTACCAAAATTGTACCTATTCCAGGGTCCAATCCCATCTCACACAGAATTGTCACACCAGAGCTTTTTGCTAATTCATCCAGCTTGGACATTGAATCATCCACATAACTAGCGGTGACAAGATGTTTCTTAAACTGCATAAGTAACATTTTCTTAAAAGTGAGGGTAAAAACATATGAATTGAAGGGAAAAAAGAAAAAGAAAAAAAGAGGATGATAAAAACAGAATGATACACTACAGTTATTGTCTGTCAGATCAAGTAGCTAAAACAAGCTTGTCAATAATCTTGATGCTGTTTGCAATTCCCTATAGGGTTAGATAGAGCATATCGTGATTCTGCCACTTTTCAAATCAGCAGAACTATTTTCTTAAATTCACTTTGTGCCTGCTAATTTGTTTTTATAAGAAAACTCGCATCATGGACTGTTGTACCGTAATCTAATAAATGTAGGATGCCCCATTCACATCATATGCATAGAAGCTGTAATTTGCTACTTTTTGTATAAAGAATAAAATTCCTCTTTCTTTTCTTGTCTACTACTACACATTTTTTAATAAAGAAAACAGAAAAATATGAATGCAGTTGTCTACTAAGTTAAGAAAGTCATATCATTATTATTTATGTTAGTAAAAGACATATGGGATCATCATCATGACCAATAAAAGACATATGGGATCATCATCATGACCAATACAATATTACATGATTTATTGTCTGTTAGTTAGATTTAAGAGAATCTGCACCTGAATACATGCACTTGCTATGATACTGTGGCAACTAGGAGGCAGTAAACTGATGACCACATCAACCTTCAAAAAACAAAGAAAGCTTTTTCAATCCAAATGAAGAAACAAAACTTACAATTAGGGTATGAAAACAGCATCTTGGATGCATTTCCAGTAATCTATCAGATATAAATTGTAATTCAGATAGGTAAAAACTGGGTTTTTCAGGCAATTCTATTATCAACACACAAGCTATTACCTGTGAAATGTAGTTATGGAGGTCGTTCGTATTAGTAATATCCAGCTGAACTGCTGTTGCATGCAGAATTCCTTCGGTATTCTGTTTCATTTCATAATATCAAAATCTCCTTTCACTAATCCCTTCATCATCTTTACAATTATACTAAGTCACAACAGCATAAACTAGAGGATGGAAATCGATATGTTGGACTAACCTCTTTCGCTTCTTTCAGGAAAAGAGAAGCAACAATAACACGAACAGACTTGTCTTTTAAGTCATCCATCATGTCTGAGTTGAACCATTTTTTTGATGAACCACGATTTAGTGATGTTAGAAATTCCACAGCTGGTCGACAAACTCGGCCAGCGCCTAAAATGAGGACCACGGCTTCACTTTTTATCCCATTTTCCTTCTCAAGGCCAGTTTCGTCGCATTTTCCCATCTTTAGTGATATTATATTTTGGTTACTGTGTACTTGACTCTCACTTGAATTCGCAAGTGAGGTCAAAGAATCAATAATTTTAACCAGAACTGCTTCGTCATCTGCACTGATCTGTTCAGAGTATTTGTAACTGAGTAAATAAAGAAGGGCAAAAAAAACTACCTTTCTGCATATGGATATATTTTCTAATGATGGAAAATATAAGGAACTCATATTAACTTCCTCGGGACATCTATGGTAAGACTTTGGCACACAAACGAGATCTCGCATTGTTTGTTTATTGGTAGTGATCCAGTTTTGGGTTCCGTCAACATCTTAGATTTAATTTCTTTTCTACTATTAGGAGTTCGCTACATTCTTCACTTTACAAACCACATAAAATATGACGAAAAAGCGGGGAAAAAAAAATAATGCATCCAACTTTCACAAATTTTCCTTAGATTTAATTAATCTAGACTTACTTCAAGTTCTGAGTAAGACATAGCATCCGTGCTTTGACCAACTTGGCATTTGACCAAGTGGAAGGAGCCACCGGCTGCTTCAATGATATCCAAAGCCTCATTTATCAGGAATTGATCGAACAAATGGCCACTCAAAGATATCTACAAGATCACACGGGCACGAGTGATGTCAACAAAGAGTAGAATAGAAGGTAAAAGATTAACTATATGTTGTATTTAAAACTTTTCTTGAACCCAATCAATAGGAATAATATATTTTTTGTCATTGGAAAGTTTGTGAAGAATAAATTAAAAACTTTCCTTTGAAATGATAATCTAGCTCTCACATTACAATGGTTATAAGTCATGCTTAACTAAAAGAAACAGAATACCAGTTTAGAGAATTTCATTGTGGGCTGCGAAGTTTGTGGAGCTTGTGATGAATCCCTGCAAAGATATATAAAAGGAACACGAAAAAACCAGACATGCTTAACACCAAACGGCTAACACACGTCACGTGCTTTAAGATTGAATGAACTGATAAAATATCTAAATCAGATAGAAGAGAAGTAAATGGAAAACTTACTCAGTATTAGACTTTCTCATTCTAGGAATGTATTCAAACAAGGAGGTCAGTGCTCCTTTATAGACTATGCAAGCTCTCCTTAAGTGTGCGGGTAATATTTCAAGGTTTTTCAAGGAAGCTAAGCTTCCAATAAATTGGGATAGAATATCACCGAAGTGTTGGGAAGCCTATGTATACAGTTAGCATAGTTAACATAAATCCAGTCCAAGAAATATTTAGCAAAAATAAAAAAATAAAAAAAAAAAAGCTCAAAGATAGGTCAAAACTAATACTTCTCTGGCAAACTCTGTTGGAAGAATGTCAACAGCTGAACATATAACGCCATCGCCTTCCATGTCATGATGGTACGAATTATCATTCGGATCATACCTAAATTCCATTTTCAGTCAATTATAAAGAAGACACTAAAAGAAGAAGAATAGAAATACCTAACATAGCTTTTGTACATATTTTCATTTGTTCCACAACTATGGCTTCTTTCTTTATATAGAGTAGTTAAATATAATAAGATCCAGTTATTCTGTTACCTGACTTGCATGCTTACTGACAAAATATAAACATAAAATTATAAGAGTTATTAACTTGAAGAGTATATTAAGAAAATACTCAAAAAAAGTTATCTTTCCCAACAACAATTGATGTTTTATTCAATTGTGTGAAAAAAGGATTAAATACAATGTCAGTGTAAAAGTTACCTAATGATAGGTGAGTCGATCGATGTAGTTTGATTCACAAATTCTATCGAGCCACCCATATCACAAGTTATATCCGAGATCCCGACTAGAGGGCAGCCTTTTCTCATCAGTTCTTGCAACTGTTCGGCAGTCAATAAACGAGGAAACCTTTTTTCCCAATACATGCAATTGACTGTCGTAAAATTAAAACCACCTCAGTTACAAATGCCAACTTACAAAACCATTTACGAAGAAAGAGAATGATATACCCACCTATTACAGAAGTGAAGGGGGCTATCTTTTCATGGAAAACGGGTGAATAGTTTTCCGGGTGTGCATAATATTCTGACTGATAAGAAAAGAAGAACAAACGCTAGGAAAGTTATCCGAGCAATGTACTGTTCATACTTCATCAAACAGTTTAAACTACTATTTGCAAAACTGAATAAAAAAAAACAACAAAAACAAAGAGGTGCAGTTAGAGTAAGATCCAATATGAATATCTGAGTATTTTAAAATACAATTTGCAGTCTGTAAAGCCATTGCAGCATTTCACCAGAAGCAAATTACTACAATTTTCTTCCAAGCACAAAATTTCAGATTATATGTACTGTTTTTTCTGTGGTTATTTGCAAACTTATCATTAGCATTATCAGAAATTGGACAAATGAAAATAGTAAACTCACCTTATCAAAGACTTTGTTAGGGTCCTTGTGTTCCACCATGTCTTCACAAGTCACAACACAACCATATACTTGGAAAACTCTTTTGGAAGTTCGTCTTTCATGAGTATGATCATTGGCCTAGAAGCATGAAAAGTTTATGTTTAAGCGTAAAACTATCAGGCAGAAAATTAAAATCAGCAATAATCTTTGGGACTGCAAGCAACCACATACAATTAGCTAAGTTATAGTAACTGGCCTAGAATATAACATTAAATTAAATTAAAACCTCAAAAAGATCTGGAAGTTTGCTGGGTTCCACAAACGTGTGAGGAAGAAGCTTAAATATCTCTCTTGCTCCTTGAGAAACTGCAGAAAGTAACAAAAGAAATCCAAAAAAAGAAAAAAAAAATCATTCAGGTTCTTCGATTTTTCTCATCATTCACAATTACAGAACCAACCCAATGCCAGACAGCATATAACCGAAAAAGATAATATTTATTGTTTGGAGTCCAGTATGACTCAACGAACCATGCTTAAGGAAAGTAGGATAACATCTCAAAAAAATAAAAGTTGATTGACATGCACCTTAGTTTATGAAAATGATAAGCAGCACAATCATTTACTGTGAGTTCTCATATGAAACTAAAAATAGAAAAATAAAAAGAAAATTGATATTGGCTAAAAGCATACCAGCAATCAGTCCATACCATTTCCCGCACCAGTAAAAACAAAGACGAGTGGGCAGATTCTTGATGGAAGTCCCATTGTACCAATCTCTTCACCCACAGAGATTACGGCAGCCTTAGCAGCAGCCAGTGAAGAATACATGTAAGATGCGCCCAATGAGAGAAAAGGTGTCGAGTATCCAAGATTAAGATACCCTGGCAAATAATAATAATAGTATTTATTCGATTCTATATGCTCTACAGGTGGTTCCAGAAAGTATTATCACTCACTTGTTATGAAAACTCAAAGACAGATGAATAAACACAGATGTTCAAATTTTGCACATGGAACTCAAAGCAATCTCCTAATGTTTTGAAATGGAATACTAAGTGATCTAGCTTCTCGATCTCTTAAAGAAACGACAACAAANGCAAATTTCCCGAATGCCAGTAACCTTTTACCATGGTCAGCGGCTATAAGCTCATAGTCAAAAAGAGTGGCTCTCTCTGCCAAAACCTAAAGAATCAAGTAAAAAAAAAAAACCAAAATAACCCAACAAACAAAGATCCTGACCAAAAAATCCTCCTTGTGTTCTACAAAAATCTTACTTTATCAAGAAGAGGCATATTTTCCTTCTGTGCCTTGTGCGTATGTGAGAAAAACGCATACGCCCTATCAGGAAGTATCATCTCCAGCTGCACGAGAACAAAAATACAACGAATTACCTAAATTCCATCATCATCATCACAAGAGGTCACTATTAATGCTCAATCAAATACGATACAATCACCTGTGGTTGTTTGATGCCTAAAATTAGACCACATTCGGACAAATCCTCGGAAATCTCACACCCGACATCTTCATAAAGTGCATCGTGATGAATTCGCTTTGTGGAGGGCTGCACGATTATGCGGGCCACCCCCATTTTCCCGCTTCCTCCGTGGAGCAAACGTGCACAGTGTGAAGGGGTTAAGGGTACCCTTCTCTCCCACTTGTTCGTGGACTCGGATAAAATCCCGATAACTCCATTGCCGAGCATGGCTGGTTATGTGGGGCCTACAGGGGACAATTGACATTTAAGCTAGCTCATTTTCGTAATTCTGGTTATGTATTAGTTGTGATTGGTAAAAAATGAGGTACAGAAAGCTACAGAAAATTGATATGATGCATTTGAAAGCTGAAATTAACTAAATATCAGATTTCATGTGATCAAAGTAAAAGCTCATAACACAGATAATTGGGAACAGCATGCACGATTTCACATTTTTTGCCCATCAATTGGAATGTCCCCACACCTGAAAGCCTCGGCTACAGACAGATAGAAGATATAGGTAGCAGCGAACAAGGGTTACAGAATTGTAACAGCTAAATTTGACAAAAATTATAACAGAATGTGCTNATGGAAAGGATTGACCATGGGTTTGAAGATAAACCTGCCTTTTGTCACTTTTTCTTGAAAAGATTAAATTTTGGGCTCTTGATCAACAGTCTTTCAGGTTCTGTGCACACTCCGCTGCTCAAAAGAAACAATCACGTTTTGATTTTCTGGCTTCAGAAGAACCAATAATGGAGGACTACTCACAAGTCGCAACTCACAAGCAAGACGTGACGTAAACGTACACTTTTTTGTGTATAATATAAGTGCGTGGGCACTGCCACTACCTAAAATCTTGTTTTTATCGGCATAGTAGCATGATCTATGAGCAGTCCTAGAAAATAAACGTGACTTATATGGAATGGACCAAAGTCTAATCAGCATCTACCATTTTTTCTGATAAAAGATCCACGTGGTACCGTTTGACGTGGGCCTATATTTTTTTGAGAAGAGTCCACTTGACTTTTTTATTTTTGGTAAGTCTCGTTCAATATGTATACCTCTATGTACAATATTATGTACCTATAACATTTCTCATATTTTTATAACAAACTTTCCGAAAGACCCGAGATCGGAAATTAAAATTTTGGAATCCCAAAACATGGAATATTTTCATTAATAAAAAAAATGTTACATTTTTATCTTTTCATTAAGCGAATCTAAAAATCCTCCGGGCCGTGAGGTCAAGTGGTGACTAATGGAGGGTGAAAACTCCGAAGTAAGAAAGAAATTGCGAGATCGATCATGACTATTGTGGAGAATGTGATTGGTGCATTGCACTGTCCCTAAGAGGATTAGTTCTACTTCTTAACGTGGGGATCTCTAATCGTGATAGGCCTGGATCGTAAGTTGGTGGGTTGCAGTGGTTGGTGAAATCGTGGAGTGAATGTGGGAATACCTTCCAGTGGACAAAAA